AGCTTTGGAGACTTTGCCCCCCCCCCACCCCACCCCACCCACCCCCTCGTCTCTTTGGAGGGGCATTTTTCCTTTTTTGTGACAAGAAAATGGTGCACCTCTTTTGTAGAATGAGCTCTTTACTATCTGTAAGTCTGCTTTGTGTTCTGAGACTTGCTACTGCAGCCTGCTTAAAAGAAGAAAAAATGTCAAGATAAATCCAGAGGAGTGTTACAGGGACGGCAGCATGTGTGCGTGTGTGCGATTGTGCTGAGGTGACTGTTTTGAACCCAAAAGTCCCCTCTTATCCGTGGCCTAACTGAAAAGACTGCCTGCCATTTTCTCTACACCGAGTCCTTGAGCTTTAAGTTGTGAGACATTTGCTGTAAATAGATAAGTGCTCTGTCTTTCCAGAATCAGTCCATGCTATAGACTCAAGTGAAATGTTCCATGTGCTGTAATGCATCAAAATGTGAAAACAGCGTTTTCTACGCTGTCAGTGGAATATTAATCCATGTTATTGGATTATTTCTATTTTTGTATAATTTTCCAGTTTATGGTTTTAATGAGCACTACACCATTGGCAACTCTGACGCCAGATATGTAAATCTTTTCAATTCTTTTAAAAAGAGTTATAGAAATGTTTTGTCTTCAGTAGAAATAGTCTTGATTTCACATTTTGATATATCAACTTCTCTGTTCAGCCAACCCCTCGTTGTTCTTTTTTGTACGTATTACTATTTTGCACAGTCTGTGTGATTTTATTGGATGAGGGCACTATTGAAGCGTTTTGTTAATAAAATTAAAGCAATTACACCCAAGATGAAATTATAGACACATTTTGCATGCGCTGATATTGATAACACAATAATTACACATGGAATGTGTTGATTCTTTCCCTCTCAGTTCCTGAAGCCAAAACACTGTGGCTCTGTGGGGTTTTCAGAACATTGCTATGTTTGTTTGAGTGGCCCAGCATAGCAACACTGGCTCAACCAATAGCAAGTACCCTTTAAGTAACAGAATTGTAAAGTAACAGAATTGACAGAATTATCCGGTAGACTGTCAGTTCTGTTACACTATTGTCAGCATTGTTACTCTACCTTGGTCACAGAGTTTGACGGTAACAGAACTGACAATTTTATTTTTGCCAAAAACTCCATTTGCTAGCATAAATGCTAAGAGCACATGGCACTAATGAAATCATAATTAAAATATCTTTAAATAACCCAATTTGTGATCAGTAATACATTTTGTTTTCCTTTTGATATGGTGGTAACAGCGTTGAAATTATTCAAAATAACTCTTGGTATAAGACATTTTTAGATTAAAATATTTTCTCAGAGAGAGCACACAGACTTTTCAGTGCTTCAGATCTTATCAGTGAGGGAAAGTGTCATCATTTCCTGTATCTTACATAGTTGTGGGAGATAATTCCACCAATTTAAAGGCAAAATATGGTTGACGCAAAACAGAGTTGACGCAAGATTTATGGACACACATTTTTATAAGAAAAAAGGTATTTTTAAACAATTTCGTTTTGTAGAATTAAGTAAACGAGTATTTAGGGCTTTTATAAATAAAATGAATGAAATATTACAAAAAGAAATGTACAATAAAATATTTTGATTACACAATTTTTGTGTATCTGTAGATTTTGAGCTATTTAAGACACTTTTTACACAAATTATTATATTGTTATTGACTGTAACATCTTATAATTCATAACAATAAGTAACAAATTATTAAAATAATTAAAAATATAACCATTGAAAAAAAAGCAGAAAAAAAGAATGACTTCGGACACCAAATGTACCTGCAATTATAGAATCACCCAGCAGTGAATAATGCTTCTATGGAAAAAACATATCTGTAAAATGAGTAAAGAGAACTTCTCAGTGAAAAGAATGCGAAACTAAAAAAGAGGATACTTTATATTAAGTTTAAAACAACTATACAGTTATAAACTACCACTTCAAGCAGATACTGTAAGTGTTGTTTACTGAGTTTTCCTC